AGACTGCCTTTTAAGGTTTATGGAGCAGCAATAAAAGCATTAAAAAATAAATGAAATAAAATAAAATGAAAATTTTTTCTAAAATTTGAAATTTTTTGGGAAATACCTTCCAAACAATACCTTTCGAATGATATAAAAAATTTCCGTAAAATATGGCTAGCTAAAAAGTCGAAATTTGTCTGAAGAAAAAAAAACCCACCCCGAGCACAAATATTCCGTTACTTTCGTATCGAAAGTCGGAACAACAACAATTTGAGAAGGCTTCTATGAACTGAAAGTGGAACTTGATGTTGATGTGAGGTTGTATTTGTTCAGAATAGCGGAGTTCCAGGGTATCCTGAATGACCTGAAGAACAAGACGATGAAGGATGAGTCTGAGAGAAGAAACAATGACCAGCTAGTCAATCGCAAGTGAGCTTTTTTTGTACCTACCTTAGTTTGTTTAAACAGTTTATTTAAATGCGGCAGAAATGTTTTTAGACAAGTTCAAGGGCACCTTTTTGAATGATTGTAAATCCTTAGTTGTTGTATTCCGCTAGGAAACTTCGGAACATTTGGTTACTTAAGGGTTAAAAAACGCCTTTCGAAGCTTTAAATGTTACAGAAGAATTTTTTGTTGTTCTTTTTTTGACTTTTGATTCATGTTAAGATACTTGCAGTGTTTTAGTTTGATGACACGTGAACCATAAGAAATTCTTAGTTGATTTGATTTAACAATTCATTAATTTCATACACTTTTGAATTCAAGAGATTGAATTGAGCAGTCGCTCCCTCAATTTTTGTGCTTTGAAGTATTTGAAGCAAAACTACTTTTGAATAAATTAGAAGTCGTAAGTACACTTCGAATAAGCGATTAAAATGAAGTGATTTTCTAGACTTACCGACATCTACAGATAGAATTGGTGAGGTAAAATCGCTATTAAAGGTCAAATCATCATGCGAGTTAGAAGTTAAGACGATTTATCCACGAGGAAAAAGATCAACATACGAGCTGCTGTGTGTCCCTAGTTAAGAATTTCATGCAATTTTTTGGTTATATTTCTGAATAGAAGTTTTTGCCTAGCCCTCAAGCAACGAGCATGAATCTTGGTGACTCTCGAACCATTTGCTTTTCGGCTGAGTAGCGGAGACTTCACCGTCGCTTCCTAGAACTCATAAAAACCGGATGTTGTTTTTGTTTAGATTATCCGATATGCAGTTTGCACTGAGCGACATTCAAAGAAGTCACGCCGACTTGCAACACGAGTCTTCCAAAGTGAGACAGGACATGACAACTCTGTTCGAAACTGAGAGCAGTAAACTGAATGACCAAATCAGTCGCTCCCTCGACGACTTCAGAAGGAAGCTGCACGATACCGAAACGAAGATCAAAGACGAGTCTTCCTCTAAGCTGACTCACTTGGAAAAAGTAATTGTTTTAATCTCACGATATTCATTTTCTCTGAATTTCATACACGCGATTTCATACAATTTTTGAAAATGTTTGAAAAGATATAAGCCTTTTATCATTTTTTCGAAGGCTTATAAATGCAGATTTTTTGTCGCGCGCTTGCCCTGTAAAACCTTGCGCTTTGATCTTGAAGAAAATGCTATCAGGAAGCTTGAAGACCAAAAATAACCTTCATATAAATCAAAACAAGTGTATAAATAGAGATGGTACATTTTTGAAGGTTTAGTTGAGTTAAATAAAGTTTTTGTCAATTTTTTCGTTTGTCAATTGTTAACTGCTTGGTTATGATGTTTTAAAAAACATTTGACCTTTTATTTTTTCAGAGTCTGAACGAGGAGCGTGACAGTCGACTGAAAGGCGAGAAGAGCATCAGAGATGAGATGAAGGAAACAGTAGCTGAGATGAGAGAAAAAAGCAAAGAGGACCTACAACTGCTTACTAAGTCTAAGAAGGTACCCGGGTTGAGCTCACATTGAAAATTAGCGATAAAAAAGATGATTTATCGATTTTCATTGCCACAATAGCAAATTCTATCAATAATTATCGCTAATTTGGCTGATTTTCAGCGGTGAAACAGCGATAAAGAACCTATCAAAATGAGAAAAAATAGTGCTCAAACAAGGGTTCGCTTCCCGAACCTTGAGATTTAGAGACCTGTATGCTACCTATGCGCTATCAATACTTTTACAGCAAGGTTTATCTATGCAACAAACTCTGAATTATACATGAATCAGCGCTGGAAAATAGCAATCACTGGGATACTACAGAAAAAGCGATAATTAACGGTGGGACTTCAACCCGGGTATGCAACCTAGTCAGGCATGCATCCGTTTAGTTGATTGTTTTCATTGCAATCGAAGCAAGCTACATGAAACCATGTTGATATCTCCAGTCAAAAACTTCGAAAGACACATGGTTGCGAAAACGAAAGATAGGCTTCGGGTTTTTTTTGTGTTGTTTAATCTTTCTCCATTAGGTGATTTTGCTTTAAGTTTACCCAAACTTAATTTGAGTACTTCATTTTGTTGTCTTATTTATGGGAAAAACTAATGCTTGTTTAAGATTCTTTTCAGAGAATAATTTTCAGGCGGAAAAACAAAAAATTACAGACAGTTTGAACGTCGTGAACGATGCCGTCAACTCGGTTGAGAAACACCAGGATGAATGGTTCGACAAACTCGCCAAGTCACTTCGAGCCGAGATCAAAACACGAGAAGCGAATACAGACTCAATTCAGAAACAGATATCAGACCTCGATGCTAAGTTTGCTGAAGCGCTCATCCTAATTGATAAAGAGGTACAAGTATGGCAGATGGGTCCCCAAAATGATAGACTAGAAGACATCACTTGAGAGGCAGCTAACTGGCCTTATTACTTTTGGAACAAAATTTGTAATTTCTTCCAAGATCGGATTTTTTTTGAACAAAATTTGCAATTTATTCCAAGATCGGATTTTTTTTCGGACAAAATTTGCAATTTATTCCAAGATCGGATTTTTTTTGAACAAAAATTGCAATTTATTCCAAGATCGGATTTTTTTCGGGCAAAATTTGCAATTTATTCTAAGATCGGATTTTTTTTCGGACAAAATTTGCAATTTATTCCAAGATCGGTTTTTTTGAACAAAAATTGCAATTTATTCCAAGATCGGATTTTTTTTTTCGAAAAAAAATTGCAATTTATTCCAAGATCGGATTTTTTTGGAACAAAACTTGCTATTTCTTCCAGGATCGGATTTTTTTCGAACAAAATTTGTAATTTCTTCCAAGATCGGATTCTTTTTGAACAAAATTTGCAATTCATTCCAAGATCGGATTATTTTTTGAACAAAGTTTGTAATTATTCCAAGATCGGATTTTTTTTGAACAAAAATTGCAATTTATTCCAAGATCGGATTTTTTTCGGACAAAATTTGCAATTTATTCTAAGATCGGATTTTTTTTGAACAAAATTTGCAATTTATTCTAAGATCGGTTTTTTTGGAACAAAATTTGCAATTTATTCCAAGATCGGATTTTTTTTAAACAAAAATTGCAATTTAATCCAAGATCAGATTTTTTTCGGACAAAATTTGCAATTTATTCTAAGATCGGATTTTTTTTGAACAAAATTTGCAATTTATTCTAAGATCGGTTTTTTTGGAACAAAATTTGCAATTTATTCCAAGATCGGATTTTTTTTAAACAAAAATTGCAATTTATTCCAAGATCAGATTTTTTTCGGACAAAATTTGCAATTTATTCCAAGATCGGATTTTTTTGAACAAAAATTGCAATTTATTCCAAGATCGGATTTTTTTCGAAAAAAATTTGCAATTTATTCCAAGATCGGATTTTTTTGGAACAAAACTTGCTATTTCTTCCAAGATCGGATTTTTTTCGAACAAAATTTGTAATTTCTTCCAAGATCGGATTCTTTTTGAACAAAATTTGCAATTCATTCCAAGATCGGATTATTTTTTGAACAAAGTTTGTAATTATTCCAAGATCGGATTTTTTTTGAACAAAAATTGCAATTTATTCCAAGATCGGATTTTTTTCGGACAAAATTTGCAATTTATTCTAAGATCGGATTTTTTTTGAACAAAATTTGCAATTTATTCTAAGATCGGTTTTTTTGGAACAAAATTTGCGATTTATTCCAAGATCGGATTTTTTTTAAACAAAAATTGCAATTTATTCCAAGATCAGATTTTTTTCGGACAAAATTTGCAATTTATTCTAAGATCGGATTTTTTTTGAACAAACTTTGCAATTTATTCTAAGATCGGTTTTTTTGGAACAAAATTTGCAATTTATTCCAAGATCGGATTTTTTTTAAACAAAAATTGCAATTTATTCCAAGATCAGATTTTTTTCGGACAAAATTTGCAATTTATTCCAAGATCGGATTTTTTTGAACAAAAATTGCAATTTATTCCAAGATCGGATTTTTTTCGAAAAAAATTTGCAATTTATTCCAAGATCGGATTTTTTTGGAACAAAACTTGCTATTTCTTCCAAGATCGGATTTTTTTCGAACAAAATTTGTAATTTCTTCCAAGATCGGATTCTTTTTGAACAAAATTTGCAATTCATTCCAAGATCGGATTATTTTTTGAACAAAGTTTGTAAAAACAAGAGTATTACTTGCTGCACTGCGATGAAATTAAATGCATATTAAAACCGCGATGAAGCCAACATGCTTTCTGATCGACTGAAAACAAAAAGTATGAACCAAGGAGAAACTCTCACCCATACATTAATAACAATGATAAACTAGGCTTCAACCCGTTTTTATTGGGTTTTGCTTTCTTTGTTTACAATAATTCTCGTTAAAAATTTTAAAAATATGATTGATTTCTGATCTTGATGCTTCCTGATTTCGTATTGAACCCGTTTTCACGTTTGCAGTTCATTTTATCCCGATCTGCACTGCTGTAAAACAGCCCCGAAGTTCTCAATTGAAATGAAACAGTCAGCTAAGCTCTTCCCAATGAGGTTTTTGAAGGCTCCAGGATGGTTTCAGGGGGTGATTTTAGAAACGTCTAATGCCTATTAAGCATTGATGCATGGTTTTTTCACGTTGTTTTTTGAGATCCCCTCGCTGCTTATTTGATTATTCAAGGGACCCATTTATCATACTCTTGCCAACAAACAGCAGAAACCTGCCAGAGCGACCCATCCCTTTCTACCTAATCCCCCCGCTTTGGCCTCGAGAAGAGAGACGGTGGGGGAATTGGAGAGCAACGTCAAGTTGCTTTCGGATCGGATCAGCCAGCTGCAAAGTACGATGGATGAGAAGTCACGTGAGACTATGTTGTTGCGCAACAGTATTTCAGTGGTAAGAAGAAACGTATTTTAAATTTGCCCTGATTTTTTTCTGGGCTTGGAAAGCGAAAACTAATGCAGATTGGTACGCAACGTGCCTTTCAAATGAAAATTGATCTGAAGATCTCAAAATTTGCACCCGCAATTCTTGAAAAATTTACGCCTCGTAACTCTTGAAAAAATCGAAAGATTTGATTATTAATCCATATACGAAGCATATAAATGCCATATATAAAGGCATTTATTTATTTAGGTCGTGTTTGTTAAGGAAAAAGCCCCAAAAGTTAACGTTTGATTTTTCGCATTTCGACTTCTAAGTTTTCTTTTCAAGTTCATATCGAAATCATTTGCTAAAAAGAACGCACACTTTTCTCGAATTAAAACTCTCAAATGGCGTGAAAAACGTGTTTGACTTATGCTTCGCAGCGAATTAAATAAATTGCTTAAATTACTTGGATTAAGTAATTACTTATCATTCCAGTTCTCACTACTATTTTTTCAGCATGATTTTTCTACATTATATTTCATTCGCACAAATATTGCTGAACTGTATAGATAGGATTTTCTCAAAGTAGAGGTGAGTTCAGGTTTCCGAAAAATTTGTCAGAATTTTTTGTCCCGCTTAATTGCTCCTATATTAGCTCACTTTTTCGTAATCTTATCCTCACATTAGCCCCTCCCATCATTCTCATTAATTATGTGTTTACACTAGGGCAATGCTAGTGGGATTGACAAGATCAACGAGACTCTGAACCAGGTGATCGAGTGGTACTCCAAGTCTACCAAACAGGTGGACGATGTCAACAGTCTCTTCCTGGACAAAGTGGGACCCCGACTGAACGAAGTGGAGAGGGAGATTGAGAACGTGAAGAAGTTCACCATGATTAAGATAGGCGAAGAGAAGAGTGCTAGGTATGTTCTTAAATACAGTCATTGGGCTCTGCTAGCGGCGGGGGGGGGGGGGGGGGGGTGTTACATTATAAGGGTACAAGGTACAATATTTTTCTATGCTTAACCGCTGAATTAGTCTTTTATAGGGGTGGATATTCGCTTGAACGAAAAATGTACCATACTTTACTATTACCTATAAAAATAAAGTTAAAAAGATGCGGGTATAATTAAAAAGGTCCGGGATCTTTTACTTTTTCCCCCACCTGCGAATTTTCAAAAATGAATTTCTGTTCACATTGTCCAATTTTAACAAAAATTAGGAACGAATTAAAATCACATTTGGTCCTCATACTTAACCTTGTAAAACACCTCGTTGCACCATAAAATTGGTTCTTATGTGAGATGGGGAGAATCTCAAAAAGAGCCGAGATATTTATTAGCAAACGTTCTGCTTTCCTTTTCTGTTGTTTAATTTTTTTTCTTTCTTTAATGTCAAATTCAAATTGTTTTGACAGCAATCAACTATTTGGCAGTGAAACCTAAATCTGTGGGCAAAAAAAACGACGACATTGTTTAAAAATCTGGTTGTCAATCCCCTTCCCCCTCACCGCCCTCTGATCTCTGAAGTTGCGGTAGATCTGGCTGTGGATTAAATTTGAATTTCTAATTGCTTAATATATATATATACTTAATTAATATACTTGATGTGCCAAATTGATTTTGTTTGATATCTCTTTTTTGTTTTGAATGTTCACCGAGAAGTTCTGCAAGCTGTTCTCCTTTCTTCAGAAAAATTCAATTTACATGCGATTGAATCTATTTCATGTTCACAGAACGGTAGCTGTGAATGAAGTGAACCGAGAGATGAAGAAAACGAGGCGAGACCTGTCCAGTCACAAGGAGGAGTGTGACTCATCTGTGGCTAAAGTGAAGGTGGAGACGGAACAACTGGCAGCTGCCCTCCTCCACATCAGACAGAGTCTGAAACAGTCGCTGGAGGAGCAGATATTCAGAGTGGACATGCAGATTGCAGAAGAGAGCAAAAAGGTAGAAAAAATGCACTTTATCGTGTCCCATTTTTTCCAGAATGACACCAAAAAATGTCCACCAAATTTTGCTAAAAGTTGTCGAAAACAGTCTCGAACTGTTTTGAAGGCGTCTTTGACATAAAATCGCTTACGAAAGTAGGACAAATTTGTCCCTATTTTGTTTGAAATCCATATAAACACAGCTTAAATCTTGTTTAAAAACTACCTGATTCTAAACGCGCACTCCCTCTCAAAATTTGAGCGATACCGAAACTAAAATGTTCCCAATCTTGCTAAAACACCTATGAAAGCTACTCTAATATTTTATAACTCTCATCATTCCCAAAAAAGATGTGTCAAAAAAGGTTATCAGTCATAACAGCTGGCTGAAATAGAAGGAATTTTCATCTCACGTGTAAAGAAATTCGAATTTTAAAAAATTCAAATGTTTTTCAACCTTTTTCCTGATGCTTACTTGTTTTTCAAACTAAAGCGTGCCAGATCATTGTTATTGTAGTTACCAGATGGCTGATATAAATGTTTTTTTTGTGTGTGCCAAAAAAGTTGTTTGCTAAGAATTGTCTATTTTCAAAAAGATTGAGTTTAGAAAACCGAGCAAATTGTACAAATCAGGCAAGACGTCAATCATTTGAATTCAATCGTTGAGGCCAATTTAGTATCGACTACAGAATATAACTTGGGATCCAATTACGGTCTTCAAAACATGCCCACTCATCAACAATTAGGACAACCTGAAAACCTCTACCAAACAGCCCACCCAGTTAGAACAAGAGAACGAACGGTCGAGTCTCGAGGTCGGGTGATAAAGAATGCTGTAGAAGTTCAAACCGATAATCACGCAGAAACCCAAACGTACGCCCAGCCGAAAACATCTGAGAGTCAAACTAAGCCGAAGACAAGCGAAAAAGAAATGAAACCGAAATCACCTGGAACTGCAATGCAGACCATCGAATCATTCCTGCAAGAAATGTGGCACACGAACGGAAATCCTAATCAAGCAGTTCAGACTGGCAAATCGGTTTTGGATAGCCCGCCAAGTCCTGGAGTCGGATTTCAAACGAGCTTCCAATATTCTGATTTAGGTGTAATACCAACGCAAACAAGTCCCAATTTGGAACGGAACTCAACAAGAGCATCGATTTCGAGCCAAGAAAACCGACAAGACGAGGGATTACAACGTCCCGATAAGTCCTCCGAGGACTCACGGGGACCAGTGAACCCTTTAGCAGGAATGAATTTCCATGCTCTAGAAGGAGCTCAGCTGGAAATGGTCGGGGAAGTTGAACAAAAATTGAAAAAAGAAGATTCGGTTTATAAGAGATATTTAGAGATGCAAAGTGAAAACAATGCAAATGGCGATCAAACTAACAGAAAGAGGCCAAGTGAGAATAATGGGAATAATAACGAATCAGATGGAAAGCAGAAAACGGAAATAGAAGAGCTTGAGAAGTCTAGAGGAAATCGCAACGATTCAGAACCAGGTGCGTCGAGGGATCAGGAAACTGGAATTGACAATCAGAACGGAAAATTTGAAGACGGAATCAAGAGAAAAACAAGTTCGGAAGAAAAATCAATGCACAGTATCAAAAACCCGAAGACTGCTGGCTCTCGAAATTCACAGACTCGGGCAAACCGAACGGCGTCGGCAAAAACTCTTGATGAACCAGATGCCGATGATTTGGAGTACAAGTCAAATTCTAGTAAGAAACGAAGCTTGCCAATTGAAGATGAAAGTTAGATCTGGGTCTGAAATATTAATATTTGATATTAAAATCAGATCGGCTATTTGATTTTGTCCTTACAAGAACATTTAAATAAACTCGAAGTTTTTGTTTTGAACGAAGCGCAAAACCAAGTAACTCGATATTAGTATAATCTCCATCGAATTTACCTTAATTGTCAGATCATTTTGCCATGAAATCGAAAAGGACATTGAAAAGTCTTCAAATAAGTATAAAAAATACCATCTTACAAACACAAACCCTCATTTCTTGATTTTTTATAAAACAGATAAGAATGAAAGATTTATTTTCCATAAAAAATCTTATTCGAGTTTTTCGTCTTCAAGAAGCTGGAGATACTGAATCAGACCACAAACTGATAGCAGTAAACAACAGTCCAATAGAACCACGTAATGAATCGTTTGACATTACCTAACTCCAAACCATCTGCGCTATTAATGTTCAACTTGTTGAAGGGAGTGTTCCATTCCTTTGAGTGGTTTCAATTGTACCCAACTTTACCATAAATGTATTCACGTTATGACTGCCAGTGTTCTTTTTGGAAACTAGAAGACTATTTTGTCATATTTTGCGGCTCAGATTCAAAATTATTGTAAAAACTGCCATTTTCAAACAAATTTGAAATGAAGAGTTGAGCTGTTGATCATTTTGAACAATGTTTTCTTTTTTTTGTCCTCATCAAATTTGTCTGTTCAGATTCATGAAACATTTCATATGCTTGAAGTTGAAGTAAGTTTTAATCAACCATTTTCAATTTAAATGTTTTGTAAACCTAACTTCAAAATCAAGAAGCAAACAAACACAAAAGTACTCAGTGTTCAAAACTTGCTTGCAGATAGACAACTTTTATATTTTTTGCGTTCATTGAACAAAATTGTTTGAAATGAAAAGCAATATTAGTTTTTGTATGCAGCATTTTTTTTATTTTTTTCCGAAAAATAAATTTGTATCTACAGCAAAACACAGGAGATTGGAGACAGTAAATGAGTTCAAAAAGGTGGGATTCTTCGACGAAATTATCATGGAGAAATTCTTACTGATTATTGTTGATACTCAGTATCAATATTCGGCTATGTTTTCTTGTAATTTAAAAAAAAAGTACGCATGAATTTTTGATTTTGGCTTTTTAAATTTCGCTGTGACTATGAAGCTCAAAAGTTTCGCTGTGACTAGAAGAAAATATGAAAGTTGTTTTCTGTTTATTAAAGATGTTGCAACACTTTTTCGAAAATTGAAAATTTGGCTGGTTTGGGATATTTTAGGCTAATTAGATTTTGACCAAAGCGTAGCGCAAGCTGCAACTTGTTCCGGCTCAGATATCAAAAGTGCATGTGATAATGAAAGGTGATTTTTTTGATAAATTTTGAACTAAGGGAATCAATATCTTTCAATACTAACAAAAATCTACTATTAATTTGAAAAAAAAACATCATTCAAGTTTAAATAGGGACAGTGATACGGTCTACAAAACTTTTTATCTAGATGCGAAAATTATCACTTCATAATTGACATCTCTAATGGGAGAGGAGATTTTCCAGAAGAAGATTTTTTTTTTTCATTTTTTTTTTTGAAAATTGAATCGGAATGTTTCACCCATAACCCCTTTATATACCTATCAAGGAAGTATAAGTATCATTCTGTTCTTTGTCCTGATACAAACACTTTGTCCAATGGAAAACGAATCGATAAACTTTAAAAACTCAAATATATATATATAACTCAAAAAAGCTCCCAGACATTTAAAATGCCTACTTACATTTAATTTACTTTGAAAAAATTGTGTGTTTTAGTTCGAATAAAGTCCAGTTTAGAATTTTTAGAAAAGATTGTAAAAGAAATCTCTGAAGTTCCTTCCATTTTTTTCTTTGACATCTGCCATTTCCAAAAAGATTCAGATGAAACGATGACGCACAAGATAGTTTTGCTCATCATGGTTTTCGATAGAACGTTTTTCATGTTTTTTTTCTGAAAGTTTTTCTGTTTAAATTTAAATTTTACAATCCATTTTCATTCTTATGTAAACAAAAAATTTTCTAATTTAATTTACTTTGTGAATTGAACAGCTTGCGAATTCATTAAACTTCTGATATAATTGATTTCAAAAACACTTTGTTCTGGTTTATTATCAGTCTCAAAGTTAAATTTTTGGCGTTTTTGTTTTTGATAATGAATGGTTTTTGTTTGATTTTACTGATTTAACCAAAATGGCCCATTTAGACAATAATAAACATATGATGTTTTAGTCATCTCTGGTGCCCACTTTAATTGTACTGAAAAACTTGCTCTGTAAATTTATTCTTGTCTTGATCCAACCAATCACAAATAAACACCGCAATGGTAAGTGGCTCACAAGTATATTACTTGTAATTGCTTTAACAATTCAGAAGAAACCTTTTGTTTTGTTTACATGAAATTTGTCTGGATTCACGCATCTGTTACTTGCTTGAGTTTGAAGTACGTTTTAATTAGCCATTTTCAGTATTAAAGTTGACTGGTTCACCTTTTATCAAAAACAATAATAAAAATAAAACACAAAAGGTTTTAGCATTCAGAACATGTTTGCAGATATACATGCTGGCTGGTTTTTTTTGTGTTCATTGAAATAAATTTCAAAAATGGAATGCAATATTTGTTTTTTGTAGTCCAGATTTTTCCGAGAAATAATTTAGTTTGTACAGCAAAACACAATGGTTGGAGACAATGAGTGAATTCAAAATTGTGGGCTCCTTCGAAAAAACAGTCATGCAAATTTTCTTACTGATGTTTGTTGATAATCATATCAATTTTTGGGCTATGTTTTTTCTAGTTTTTTTTTTAAATACTGCATGAATTTTTGATTTTGGCTTTTTATTTCGCCGTGACTATGAATGTGGAAAATTTTGCTGTGACTAGAAGGAAATATGAAAAGAGTTTCTGTTTATTAAAAATGTTGCAATAATTTTTCAAAAATTGAAAATTTGGCTGATTTGGGATATTTTAGGCTAATTAGATTTTGATCAAAGCGTAGCACAAGCAGCAACTTGTTCCGTCTCAGATATCAGAAGTGCATGTGATAATGAAAGGTGATTTTTTTTGTTTGGTAATTTTTGATCTAAGGGAATCAATATCTTCCAATACTAACAAAAATCTACTATTAATTTGAAAAAAAAACATCATCAAGTTAAAATAGAGACAGTGATACGGTCTACAAAATTTTTAATCTAGATGCGAAAATTATCACTTCATAATTGAAATCTCCTATGGGAGAGAAGATTTTCCACAAGAACAAATTTTTCACTTTTTTTGGAAAATTGAATCAGAATGTTTCATACATATCCCCTTTAGCCCTTTAGATACCTATCAAAGAAGTATAAGTATCATTCTGAGCTTTGTCCTGATACAAACACTTTGTCCAATGAAAAAACGAATCAATAAACTTTAAAAACTTAAGTATATATAACACAAAAAAGCTCCAAGACATTCGAAATGCTTAATTTACTTTGAAAAAAGTGTGTCGTTTTAGTTCGAATAAATTCCAGTTTAGAATTTTTAAAAAAGATTGTAAAAGAAATCTCTGAAATTTTTTTCATTTTATTGCGTTGACATGTGCCATTTCCAAAAAGATTGAGATGAAGCGATGACGCACATGATAGTTTTGCTCATCATGTTTTTTGACAGAACGTTTTTCATATTTTTTTCTGAAATTTTTTTTTATTTCCTCGTCTGTTAAATTTAAAATTTACAATCCATTTTCATTCTCATGTACACAAAAATTGTCTTAATTTACTTTGTAAATCAAACAGCCTGCGATTTCACAAAACTTCTGATATTATTGATTTCGAAAACACTTTGTTCTGGTTATTATCAATCTCAAAGTTAAATTCTAAGCATTTTTGTTTTTGAAAGTGAGTGGTTTTTATTTGAGTTTACTTTTTAACCAAAAATGCCCATTTAGACAATAATAAACATATGAGGTTTTAGCCATCTCTGCTACCCACTTGAAATGTACTTAAAATCATGCTTTGTAAAATTATTCTCGTCTTGATCCAACCAATCTCAAATAAACACCGCAATGACAAGTGGCTCACAAGTATATTACTTGTAATTGCTTTAACAATTCAGAAGAAACCTTTTGTTTTGTTTCCATGAAATTTGTCTGGATTCACGCATCTGTTACTTGCTTGAGTTTGAAGTACGTTTTAATTAGCCATTTTCAGTATTAAAGTTGACTGGTTCACCTTTTATCAAAAACAATAATAAAAATAAAACACAAAAGGTTTTAGCATTCAGAACATAATTGCAGATATACATGCTGGCTGGTTTTTTTTGTGTTCATTGAAATAAATTTCAAAAATGGAATGCAATATTTGTTTTTTGTAGTCCAGATTTTTCCGAGAAATAATTTAGTTTGTACAGCAAAACACAATGGTTGGAGACAATGAGTGAATTCAAAATTGTGGGCTCCTTCGAAAAAACAGTCATGCAAATTTTCTTACTGATGTTTGTTGATAATCATATCAATTTTTGGGCTATGTTTTTTCTAGTTTTTTTTTTAAAATACTGCATGAATTTTTGATTTTGGCTTTTTATTTCGCCGTGACTACGAATGTGAAAAATTTTGCTGTGACTAGAAGAAAATATGAAAAGGGGTTTCAGTTTATTAAAAATGTTGCAAAACTTTTTCAAAAATTGAAAATTTAGCTGATTCAGGATATTTTAGGCTGATTAGATTTCGATCACAGCGTAGTGCAGGCTCCGACTTGGCCCGGATCAGATAACAGAAGTGCATGTAATGAAAGGTGATTTTTTAACATTTGAACCAAGGGTATCAATATCTTTCGATACCAACAAAAATCTGCTTTCTTTTTGAAAAAAAAATCAAATTTAACTCGGGACATCAATACGGTCACTTCATACATGACATTTTCTAAGGGAGAGAAGATTTTCCAGAAAAAGATTTTTTTTTTCGTTTCAGTTGGATAATTGAATCGGAATGTTTCAACCATAACCGCTTCAGATACCTATGAAGGAAGTCTAAGTATCATTCTGAGCTGTCTTTTAATACAAACATGTTGTTCAATGAGAAAACAAATAGTTAAACCTTAGAATCTCAAAAACATAGGACTCAAAAAACTCCGAGCGTGAAGTATATGAAGTTCCAGTCATCTCTGGTATGCACTTTAATTTTACGGAAAACCTTGCTCCTACTAACTTAGTCTTGATCCAACCAACCACAATTACTACTTCTAAATGCTTTAACAATTCAGAAGAAAATTATTTATTTTTTGTTTTCATGAAAGCAATTTTGAAAAAATTTGACGATGTTGGCAGCAAGTTATGCTTATTTTTATACCGTATTGTGTGTATTGACGTATGTGTGTTTGTAATTTTGATTGTTGTTTTACTTATTACTCCTGGCTGAATTAGGAATTGGTTTTCATGACAAATCATTTTTTAACTTTTTATTCCACTCAAGGCATCCCACTCAAAAATTGCCCAGTAGTTAAAATAGCTCAGACAAAGTAGCTCACACAAGTTATAATATCCCATCTGAGGAATCGAAACAATTAAATAACTGCAAATGGCTAATCAAAAAATATGAAACCAAGGTGCCGCAAATAAACAAACTGATCAAAGGAATGCTAACTTTTGAAAAAATGAGTGAAATCAATTTCAGTTCAAAGCGTGAAACTTTCGAAGCGACCCATCAAATCAACAAGCTACGTCTTTCTAAGCTCACTTGGCAATATGGTTAAAGAATACAACTCTTGGTTTGAAGATCAAAAGATCGATTCACGGTGGATCGCAGCTTTTAGTTCGAAAATGATAAAATTGTCCCCTAACCCCCCCAAAAAACCATTTACTGGGTAACTGGTAGGGGGATGTTGGCAAAAGCTAAAAGCCTTACTTTTGGCCTCTATTATCTCACAAAAAAGCCCCTCTACGATAGCTAGAAAGAGAAATACTCTATGATTTTTTGGAAAATCGAATAAAAAAGCCAAAAACATGAGATAATTATGCCAAAATTTGGACAAATTGAAATCTAGAAGAGTGTGAATTGAGCCAAATCTTGAACCTAATTTACTGTACCTGAGTTTTTGCGTGAGTTAGTTTTTATCCGGACTTTTTCATTAAATTCTCGATACTTATTACGGTTTTGATTAGTGGTACTGCTGCTTGCTTTCTCAGTAGTAAACTTCTGGTTGAAAGAGTCGAGTTTTTTTCCAGAAACGTATGCATCGACGGGTGGCTGCCTTGGAAAAGCGACGTGACGCCGTTATGCCACCCCTCAACTGTATTAGTCGTTCGAATGAGACCTGCCTCCGCGTTGTTTTAATGGTTCCATAGAGCTTGGTGGAATAAATCATCGCGCCGTTGTTGACCAAATATTTTTCCTTTGAAGTAATTTTCTAAAAAAATGATGCGAGCTCGTCAATTTTCTCGAGAATGTCATTTGGAATGTCAAACTCATCGGTAGTTTTGCAAACTTCGTGTATAACTTAAGAAAACGCAGTCCAAACCTCTTAATGAGAGGAACGAAGCTTAAAGCTGGGATCTTTTTCAAAGTTAAGACTAGCTTAGCATTGTTTGCATAGGTTTTTTCAGACCTAATTCTGAGAGTTTGCGATAAAAACTTTGGCATAAACCAAAATAGCAACCTTTGATTTCAGTTTCAAATAGGGACGAAATTGCGCTCAAAGCAGCTTGTTGGAAGTCAATAAGGAGTTTTTCGGGTACGCCGTCTCCAATAAGGCTAATCAGGGCTTCAAAAAACCTGTTGGAAAAAGAAATTTTTGTTGATCCGCCAATCTGGATATGTACTGCGTACCATTGATAAAGTTTACGCGGACAAATCTCAAAAGTTCCGTCACAAAGCCAAATTTTGTTATGGACACCAAGAGCATTTAATTTTTTCTTGTCACCGAGAATAATGAATCTCTCGCTGCCCTCGTTTCCGCTATCATTTAGACAAAAAGGCCAATATTTGTCGTGACTGTTCAAGTTACGGTCAGTCGACGAAATCAGTTTGAGCAGTTTCTTCGTTTTAGTCAGATTGAGGGATCTTCTCACGGCTGCCCGTGGAGGAATTGAAAGCTGAATTGTCGGATTATCGTTCACTGTCTTGAGACTAGCGGCTATCAACTTGTTGCTTACATTTTTGATTTGGGATTTAGTTCTTTCTTTCAGCAACCGGGGTTAAACTCGTAGCTATGTTGTGATTAAAAGAATTAATGTTTTCGTCGCAAGTTATAAGGGTCATCTGACATTAAGGCAACGCCATTTTGCACAACGCCAGTGATTGGTAGATTTTGCGTCTCGCTTTTTGATGATTTCGTGTCTATCAGATATAAGCAACGTTTTGCCTTGTTCAGTTTTGCCGTAGATAAAATCTATCATAATGGTGTTCGTTGTATCGGTGCTATGTTTGAACTGATATATCTATGCGTTGCGTTTCAGTATCAAGTATTTCTCAATTATGACTCCATTAACAGGTCAAAAAACAAAATTTAATTCCTAGAAAAGAGTTTTTTTTACCATTAGTACTATCTCTATATGGCGTCTCAATTTAATAGATGCAGCTGAACTGAAACTTGTTCGAATTGCGATATAGAGATATGTACCAATTCTTGGTAATCTTTATCATAAAGTAAGTTTTAATCCCTTATGGGTTATTTTAATTGACGTTTGCTATTATGGCAGGGTCTTTTGTCCATTGGAATTTATTGGTATGGGATTTTTGTAATGGGATAATTTTGTATGGGACTTTTGTCCTGTCAACGATTATTGCATAGCGGTCAATCAATTTGGCCCTGTAATTACGGAGAAAATGGGCGTAAAAAAGGATTCACATACATTTACGCTTTTTTGTAGTTTGCCCCTTTATTTGGTAAGAAGTAAACGGGAAAATCTCTATCGAGCGTTACAGGTTTTTTCAGTTAAGGCCCTTTATGAATATAACTTAAACTTTTTGATGAATTGAAACTAAAAATATTTCTTGAACTTCAAAGCACAAATACTTTTTAAGTAGAGAATCGTGTTCAACAGTGCAACATTGTTGAGCTATCAATTTGAAGAGTACAACAAAGGATCATTGATCTATTGAAGCTGTATAAAAGAGTCTTTGAACGAGAGTTGAATTTATTCGATAATAAAATTTCGGAACGTAAACTCCTATAGTTCTACTTTGTTTTACACAACTTCACCTGTAAATTGCGGACAGATGCAATCAAAAGATCAAAGATTATTCCGAAAACGTAAGTAATTAAAAACCATTTTTCACACTTTACAGCAAGGGGTCTTCTATCTTTTAGAAAACTGCTTGACAAAAAAGAATTGGATTTAAATTTTTGAAAGCAAAACGAGCTCTCTTCATGGCAGCACTTCCATAAGTTTCTTGTGTATGTGTGATCGTGGAAACATTTGTTACTCTATTTCTCTCTACTGGTAGAAACAAATTAATCAAACTTCTTATGCTATTTAGATATCCGTCGTTTGCAGGACTTGTCTAAGAAAGGTTTGAATTGACTCCTCAAGAAGAAAAATGGCAGTGACTACGCAATTCCTGTGCATTTAATTTCCATAAGGTGTTAGAACCAAAACAAAATGCGTGCTTCTTTTTTGACAGGTTGATATTAAAAAGCACCTAAACTTTTTTTAAGCACCGATATTATGCATCGAACAATTATAGCATGTTTTTTTGAGCTATCAAACTAGAGTCTTGAAAAAGGTATCATTTATCAATTGACGAGTTTTATTGAATCAAAAGGCTTCTTTTCTTTTATTCCAAACTCAAAGACGAATATTTGTAAGGGTGTAACGAGTGGTTTTACTGAGTTAATTATGGAGACCAAATGTGATTAAACTGACAAAAAAATTTGTTCTATTAAGGTTCGGAGTGCTATAATGAGAATTGAAACAATAAAATGAGCCCAGAAAGTCATAGCTAAATTTTTTAATTAGGATGACGAAACAAGGTGCAAGAAGCTCAAGAATCTATTATATATAATTAAGAAATAGATTGTGAGCAAAGAGAGCTGTCCTTTGTACTAATTATATAACGAAAATCATTAATTCAGTTTTTTATGCCCTTATTTTAAAAATCAAAATGAACTGCTTTACCAGAAATGAAAATATTCAAGTTATTTCCAAAAAAATGATCGTTTGTCTTATTTACGTTTTAAAAACCATTACGTTTTATGCTTTAATTCCATTTTTATGTATAACTAATTACACTCAGTAGGATAAAATGTCTTTTTCTTTGTTTCGATCCATTCACATAATTTGAATTTCTTGACTTCGGGTTGGCTGTACTTTTCAATTGTGATCTGAAACACAAAAAAAAGTATCAATTAAATAAATCATGATATTAGAGTAGTTTTTATTAAATTTTACAGCCTTATAACTCAGAGTGTCCCCCTTTGTTACTATTTTATTCAATTCTTCTTCGGCCGATCGGTCTTCAAATTGTTAGGGGAGCGGTGGTGAAGTAGTTACGTCTCCGCCTCTCAATCGAAAGGTCGGATGTTCGAGGCCCACCATGATCCGTGCTCGTTGCTTGAGGGTGAGGCAACATAACCCAGCCCAGAAAAATAACCAAAAAAATTGCATGTAGTTCTTAAACAGGGGCACAACAGCGGTTCGCCGTGATGAGCTGTACAGCTCTTGTGTTGGTCCTTTCCCCCGTGGATAAATGGTCTTAAGTAAGTAAAATTCTGATTGTCTTCAGGGGCCTTTCGTGCCAATATGCTTTTATTTTTAAGGAGGAGAGCGCAAAAAACGCTATTTTTGGTCCAGAATTTCTTAAAGGACTCAAAAACTGATATTTCAGCACAGGCGCGGATTTAGGATTTTCTCGAGACGGGGGCGGATTTTCAAAAAATTTGTCGACCTTTTTTTTTAGGTCGACCGAAATGATTTTTCGAGCTCTCTCTAAGCACGGTTTAGTCCTTGTTTTGGCCAAATTTTCTGCGCCGCAGGCAAAATTTTGAAAAAATAGTCCAGAAAAGGCGTGCTTAGGCACTTTTTGGGAAATTTTAACCAAAAAAATCGCGTTTTTTCGGCGCGCGCTCTCGCCCACTCAAAATTAGTATATATTGGCGGCAAAGGCGCCTTTAGAAAAATTTTAGGGTCGATCGGCCAAAAAAGGATTTCTTGAACAGTACTAAAGGGGGACCCTTTGGGTCGGCAGGGGGTCGAATCCCTGAAGGAGGAAACGTCCGCCCCCCCCCCCCCCTAAATCAACCCCTGTTTCAGTACCTTTTATGAAGAAAAGTATGCCTCTCATGGAAATTAATTAATTCTTCAAAACAGAATCGTATTAGGGTTTTTGGGAGAGCTTGGAAAATCAGTTTGGTCAGTCTTTTTGGGTCTTTCAAAATGACCAAATTGTTAACTGATCTCCAGTTTTTGATGCCAATGTGGATTTTCTTTCGCTGTGATTCATTTCAATCAATCAGATTTGAGCATCAAGATTCAATTTCTAAATTAATTGAAAGATCAGGGGTCGTATAACAGAAAAAAAAACGTTTTTTTTTTTAAATTTCTGCGAAGAAGTTGATTTTTTCAAGTTGATTAACTCCTAGATGCGACCCAGTTTGGAAACTTTCGTTTGCAAAATTTGTAAAAACAGTTCACTAACCCAGTCTAGCTTCAAATTATTAGTCTGAAATTTGGTTTTCCCAGTTGTATCATCTCTCCAGACTTCAATTTTTAGAATACCACCAACATTATCGGTCTTGAATTCCAACACATCGGTTCTGAAAAAAATCAAAAGCTAAATTCTATGCAGTGGATGAATCCTACTGTGTATTGCGGGAATCGTATCATGGATACCACGAAACCGAAGACGGTTCTGTCGTGGAATCCGCAACAGGCTTGATTTTTCAGACAAAATTTGTGGAACCCAGATTAGTTTGGGGAGCATATACACAAAGAGTTTTTCATGTGTGCAAGGGAGTTTACCGACGTGGAATCCCTATTTTGTAACCGGATACTGCATTTTCTCACTGGAATCTGCATAGGTGGGTGGAAACCGGTGAAGATTGTGAAATTCACTTACAAATGGACTTTCGCGACAAATTGCCAAGTTCGCTCATTGCTTTACGTTACAAGTAATTGCTTGTGAGCTCCGGATACTTCTGAAGTAATTTCTTATGAATTATAATACAAGTAATTGCTCGCAGATTTAGGGGCTGAGCGGGGGAAGTGGAGCAAATCAGTTTGATCCACCTCAAAAAAAATCGACGAAACAATTTTTGAAAAATCGCCCTCCTCCCATCCGCCATCCTCGTAATGCAATGAAATTCCAAAAAACAACTCGATTGTGTTGTTGCGATTGTGGGAATATGCCATAAGCGCTCCTAATATCCTCAACTCTCAAATGTAAGTTTTATGTTTGGGGACTACGAGATTGATTTTTTTTAAAACACGGTGAGTCATCAAATCTTTACGGCTATGCTACAATTCGTGGTATAGTTATAACTGTACCAAACGACTCAAAACTATCACGTGTAACGGATAAAAATGTATCGACCATTGCTTAGCTTTACACAAACAATTAAATTATGTTAATTTGCACGGACTGCCTTTCAAAACAGACCATTACATGCTTTCATTTGAAACGCGATTTTTTTCCAAGCAAAAATTGACTCATTCAAACGGATGTAAGATGTTTTCAAAAATTTAATAGGGAGAAAGTCAACGTAGATCCTGCTCTTTATGATTGGTTAGAAGTGTATGAAAAATCGTCCGGATCAGTAATAGTTGCGACTTTTGCTTGGGATTATTGTAGAAAAAATTATGATTGCGCGTGCTCCATATTGCACAAGAACTTTAAATCGGAAACACAAAACCAACAACAAAAAAACATGGATAGATAAAGCCTTAATGATTTTGAGAAACACTGAGCATAGGTGTTTCAATATATGGAAAAACACTGGTTGTGAAGCAGCGCAAAGACAATACAAAAAAGAGAACATTTGGGTGAGCCGAAATTTGGCAATTGCTTCACAAAATTATCACATTGAAACATTTCAGCAGCTTTCCAACAGTAAAAACAACCAGATTTTATGAATCAAAAGTGAAGGAGAATAAATTATCAAGAATCAGTAACTATTAGTGGACTGGATTAGGAATATGGCAAAAAACATATGTTGCTAGTGAAATAGCAAATCAATTTACAAAATGCCTTTTAAAAACATATTTTTTAAAATAATGATTATATAACCTGAAAAGAAAAAGAAAAAATTACAACTGAAGTGTTTGACTTTCGTTCTATCACAAAAATAATTTGCGAAGAAATGGATAAACAACCGTTTAGAATACTTCCAAGGCCAATGGGAATACAAAGTTTTTGACTCCAATTTTTCATTGGAATACACCTCCAATTCGCAATGAATGGAAGTATAATTCAAAACCAGTTTTCTCCTTTCCTCAAAATATCAAACTTAATACCTGTCTTCAAAAAAAATAAAGTTCAGATGTCATCGAATTAAAGGCTTTTAAATGAACTTTATAAGCTTTTGAACGTTTGCTTTTGAATCAAAATATAAAACAAAATTTCAAAAAAAAACTCGTTACAAAACGTTTACAAGTTCGTAATTCAGAAAATCAAACCTGCGACTGATGTAGTTATCATTTATACCCAAAGGTTCTGTCAAAACATGGACCGATTCAAAAATAACAAGGGCACTTTTTCTAGATCTTGCTAAAGCTTTCCATTCCATTCCTCAAAAAAATTTCCCAGAAAACATTGGAATTTATGGTTTTTTCAATAACGCATCAATTTTAACGATGGATTTTATTAGAGACCGCGTCAGCAATGTGTAAAGCTTCAAAATTATTCTGCTAACTGGAAAACAATTGATGATGGCGTACAACAAGGTACTGTTTTGGAACCATTTGTTATTATTCTTTCTAAAAAAGATTTTGAAAACCAAATTAACAGCAACATGATTTTAGTGCAATTTGCTAATTATACAAGTATCTGTTTTACAGGAAGCTCAAAAACCGATTTAAAAGTATCAGTGCTAGAAACGCTAGAAAAAGTTCGCAAGATTTTGAATGAAAACAAATTTACCCTTTTTGTTGTTAAAACAGAACTTCCCGTCTTTTGAGAAGAGAAAAATTGAGAAAAAAAATTATAGCGAAGAAACCATTTCCACACAGAATCATTCCAAGTACCTTGGAGTGTTCGTGGACAAAATCTAACTTTTTCAGCTGAGTTGAAGAAATGTATAAACCAAATGGTTGTTGCAATTAAGTCATTTTCAGAGTGCGACATATGAGACCATTAGAAAAAAGAGTTATGCTTTTCAGATCCTTAGTTTTGTCATACTTGTTTTTTAGGTTAAAGCTATTCAAGTCTCCAATTAACAGAAATCTGCAGTAAATATGATCATGCACGTGCAAATATGATCTGCAATGAAAACTCTTAGAATAACCTTGTCGCGTCAAACAATTTCAAGTTTTTTCTTCTCTCATTTAACTTGAAGCAAAACGTGGGAGACATGAAGTGATAGTTTTGCAGAAGTTTAGGTGAAAACAACTTAACTAGCTAGTTAAAAATACTAAATTCAATTCCCAAAGAGAAAATAATTGAAGGCCTGCGAACCTTTCCCCTCCCGAAAAAAATACTGCCTTCTTTTGTCGAATTAAATAAATTATATTACCTGGCAAGGTAGTTGCTTGGCCTCAACAGAATTTGAAAAGAGAGGTTTGAGAAAATTGGAAGTTCGTCGAAGTGACAAGTTTGTCACAACTGCATTTTAAAATGAAAATAACTCACCCTCCATTTTGGAAATCCATTTTTTTGGGGTTATACAGTCGAAACTTCAGAGACGAAAGCATTCGACTCCCGCTCCTTCGCCCACCAGCGTCTAAGTTTGTTCTTCATTAGCTGCTTTACGATATTTTATATTTAAATGCCATATGCCAGATACAAGATTCAATTTAGGACTCTTTAATGATTTCCTGTGTTTTAGTTTTTTGACACCCGTGTGAATTCGGGCGTGTTTTAGTTTTTTCTCTTTTTTTTTCTTTTTGTTTTCCGCTCAAAATGAAAATAAGGTGCCACAAGTAACTATCGGAGTAGGCTGAGTGAAAAAATCATATTAAAGTACCTTCAGTCGTGATTCGAACGATAATAAAAAATTCCTAAAATGTTTCCCAGTGTTAAGAAAAACTGGTTTAAAATTCAGTCCAATTTAAGTCTGATTTCTTGCGAGTATAGCAATCGAGTAACGTTCGTTATATATAAATTTTGGCCATCCAGGCTAATAAGATTTTGTTTTACAGAAATTAAAATCAGTTCGAGAAGCTTCATTAGGCGGCTTCTTGGTCATAAAAAAATTCATACAAATTCAAATTTTTCAGTACAAAAAATTGAGAAAAAAAATTTCTTAACATTTTTTTTTTCATTTTCCCGTTTTTTTTTTATTCAAGGATAACTTTGACGTTTAATTCCTAACTCACTAATTTTCAATCCGTTTTTACTTTTGTATAAACACAGTTTGCAGAAGAAACAGCGCTTATTTGAAGATAAGAACTTTTTTTGTAGTTTTTATAGGAAGGTGGTCAGAACATTCTGTGCTATTTGCACAGCAACCGGCTATCCTTGTTTTTTTTGGCTATTTATTCGCCAATTTATGCAAAAGTTTTTTTTCTTCGCTAAAAAGACAGATTAAGTAGCTTTTGCTTATCTGTTATACGAATGAAATGATACAAAACCAAAACCTTTGGTTGATTGTTGTCTTGATGTCTGTCGAGGATAGTCCATTTGTATTATCTCCCCACATTCCAGACAGTGTTATTTAGCTGAGCGAAGCTGTTTTTTGCGACTCAGGGCCATTTTTTTGTGTCTAGAACTTTTTACGTAGTACCACTATTGCAGCCAAATTTGGTCAGGTTGTGGTAGACCTGAAGCTGGAGGTCAACTGAGAGCTTGTCCTTAAACACTATCATTGCCATGGCATGGGATCGAATACACGATGTGACGATTTCAAAGTGAACGCCTTACCACTGTGCTAAGTGCCTCTAATAAAAATAAGTATATAAGAATATTATGGTAGTTAACACGTGCCATTGCTTTGAACTGCTGCTCATGATACATAGCTTATATGGTTGCATCGTTCATACAAGATACTCAGCAAGTGTTTCAAATGACAAAGTTCGGAAGAAGGTGTCCAATTAATTTTTCGGATTTGAGAGTTTCGTTTCAAAATTGTTCGAATTAAATTTTGTTTTCTTTGAAAATCGTTTGTTTTTCCCGACTCTCTTTTCGCTTCGTTTTTTTGTCGACTTAGCTTCACTTTTTCACTTTTCTTGTTGCCAACTGATTCATCTCTAGATGCAAGCGGATTCGAGCTAATTCACTGATTTTTTTTCCAACTTTCGAAAAAAAAAGTATTTTTTTTTTGTGCTTGGTGTGGTTATTTCAAACAAATATGACTTTTCAATTTTTATTTCTTTTTTAATTGTTATGATAAATCTAAATATTAAATATTTTCAAAGACGTTACTATGAACAATACTCATACCCAAAGTATATCATCAACCGAAATTCAAATCGCTGAACTAAATGAACGATTGAATGAAACTGTTTTTCCTCTCAGAAACAGAGGTCAAACTCTTTTCTTTAAATATGCAAAAAGACCATGTCGTGCATTGAACCCAGCCAAATCAATGTCAGAAAGAAATGCAAAAACTATGATCAAGCGTAGTTTTGAAAATGTCAATCAACAAAAAATTACAATCC